CCCAGAATTCCCTGCGTTACATTTCAAATTTGATGTTTTTTTGTTGTTGAAATAACTATGTTTCTTCTTAGTTTTTTCTTATCAGTTGTGTACGTTAGGGTTGTATGTTACATCTAATGTTGTTAAATGAATGTTTATTGCATTATTTCAGTTACACATGTGTCACCATGAAGGTGTTTAGTGTTTGTGTGAATGACTCTGTGCACTTCTATATATGTTATTATTTAAAAGCTGCTTGTGATGGGCTTTGGTTCATCATGTGACTTTCTCATCAGCACCTGCTTTTTGTGGTTAGACAGAGGTACAAAACAGATTTCAGTACTTTAATAGGTTGGACTTTTAACATTATATAAGTTAATGAAATTACGGTGTTTAACTGTAAATTTAAGTTAAATCCGTAAAACCTAAAATGTTGTTACCGTATTTTTTACGTATTTTATTTTTTTTTACAATGTATCGATATTAAGGTGTGTTCTAAATATTGTGCAAATGTTGCAAGACAGAACCAATCAATCACAGAGAGTGTTCACTTAGAGGACAGAAATACATATATGTTTAAGTGATTTCACAGTAAACAAATTTAAATTGTAGCCTACATAGTTTGTGCAATTGCATTTCTTTAAATTGAACATTACAAGTTCGTATTGATCATGTTCTATTCTGTAATGATGATATAAGTCATACACTGTCAGAATAAAAAGGTTGTATTTTATGCATGCAACAGCCTGTCACTGGCATATTTTAACCATGTATAAACAAAAATATAACCTAAGAAGTTGCAATTAAGGCATATTGAATGTTAAAATGCGTTTCAAATATAAAGGTGTGGGTATCATTACCAATTTTACTCGTAGTAATGTAATAAGTTAATAAATTACAGATGAGTACAGATGGGATTTGTGAGGAATTGAACACTTCCGATTCTGATTCCTTAATGACTCCATTAATGATTCTTTTAGTTCTTTCGCAAGTATTTGCAGTTGTTTCACGGCTCCAGACGGTGTATGATTTCGTGCTGTCCAGTCTCTCGTCACAATCAGTTCAGTTTGTAAACTCACATGAAACGTTGTTTTTTAATGTTGTTGTTGATTCACGAGTGCTGCAGGAATCACTGAGTGTTTTAGTCCACTTTAGAAGAATGTAAACATTCAAGGAACCGTTTGTCATTACAGTCATACATTTCCAGTGTACTTTTTAGTTAAAAGAAATCAGTTCTGAGTAGAGCTTGGCAATATAGCTAAAAAAAATCCTAATTTTATTAGGCTTTCAGCAATTATTTCATGTAACTCATTAATTTATGTTTAAAAATCACTGTGTTTGCTTTGTTTTGTTTAATTTTTGTTTGTTTTTTTGGTCAAAGAAACTATCATTGTGGCTAAGCAGATTCAAAATGTTTAATAAAAGAAGTAAAATACAGTAAAAGTAGTGTTGTTATAAATATTTAACTATTTATTATTATTCAATATTATTTTTTACAAATCATAATATAAAATAGACATATTTTAATATTTTATTAATATGTAATAGTATTTTATACATATTTAATCATATGAATAGTATTTCATAATACAATAAAAAATGTTAATAAGTAATTACATATTGAATTGAATTATTATTATTATTATTTAATAATAATTTCAAAATAAATTTTAAATATTTTATATTTTATAAGCATGTAATAGTATTTTTTATCAATTTTAAATATTAATAATTTTTAATAAATAAAATTAACAAATTTAATAAATAACACAATTTAAAAATAATTAAATATTTAATATAAAGTAAATAATATATTATTATTATTATGCAATATTCTTCAATAATTTAATATCAAATATTAATATTTATAAATACTTAATATTTTTATATTTAATAATATTAATATGTAATTAATAATAATAATAACATATATTTAAAAGCATATATATCATATATTTATTTTATAAACCAATATAGCAGTACATATAATAAGCATTTGTTTTTACAAAAACAAATAACATGAAAAAATGCAGCAAAGTCTTTGAACATCTGAGTGATGATGAACTGAATCACTGAACTAGAGTCTTGAACCGATTCATTAAAAAAGAGCATTTGAACTGAATCAAATTTAGTGACCGTTTGCTACTGAAGTTTAAATCAGATGCTATTAAACTATTAAATGAGCAAATAAAAAGCAGATTGCAGTATTTACAAAGTTGCTTCATTTTTATATCACAAAATGCTTGCATCGTGACTGTTCGATATGTTGCGCGGCCGATATGAACCGCTTCTTGTTTCACAAGCCAAATAGAAACTGTAATAGATTCACATTCGCAGGAAGTGCAGAAGACAAAACAGCAGAAGAGAGCGACCGGCTCACGATGGCTTTTCCATCTCGCTCGTCTCGGGTTTCTGGTTTCACAGTGGAGTTCAGGTATGTCTTTATGTGCCTCCCTCCATCCATCCATCATCCAAACACATGCACACGGTCCCTCATCCACAGACAAAAGCTCCTGACAGGTTCCTGTGAAACCCAACCGCTCGCTGCTGCTGTTGTGACACAGGTCTGAGCTCCAGTCCGTCTGTCAGTGGATTAAAACTCCGACGCTTCAGTCGCTGCTTGTGCTGCTTTTCAGATGGCCCACAAACACTCGATAATATAGTCAGTCAAATGCAATAGATGCAATAGATTTTTGTAACAATGCAAGCGCTTTATCAGAGCATCTAACTTATTTATGAATAAATGCATGAGATGAAACTGTTGTAGAAATCTGTATTTATTTGACAAAATATGGTTCACAAATGCTTAAGCTAATTTACTTTCACAAAAAAGTGGAACATATTTACATGAATATCTTTAAAAAGAACTCACTGAATTTCTCTCTCTCTCTCTCTCTCTCTCTCTCTCTATATATATATATATATTAGTGCTGTCAAACCATTAATCGTGATTAATCACATCCAAAATAAAAGTTTTTGTTTGCATAATATATGTATGTGTGTACTGTGTATATTTATTATGTATATATAAATACACACACATGCATGTATATATTTCAGAAAAATATGCTATTTTTATATATTAAATATATTTATTTATAATGTAAATTGTATGACTATAAATATAGACATGTAAATACATGTAAATATTTTCAAAATATATACTGCATGTGTGTGTATTTATATATACATAATAAATATACACAGTATACACACATATATTATGTAAAGAAAAACGTTTATTTTGGATGTGATTAATCGATTGACAGCACTAATATATATATATATATATATAGACATCAGTAGTATTGGTATCAGTGATGCTGGCCTTCAGTCATAAAAAAACGATGCCATTAAACAAATATTAAATATATACCGTCTTTATGTTGTTTGTACATTAATTTGAAGATTTAATGTGAAATTATTGCAATATATATGTATATTGAAAAACTTTAATGTTAGGTGGGATTAATTGCAGAAAAATGTGCGGTTAATTTTTTTGAATCGATTGACAGCACAAATATATATATATATTATTACCATGTGATGACTTATTGTACCATGGTACAGTACTTTTCATAATGGTATGTGAGGCAGATTCAGTGTTATCTTGCTTTTGGCTGTGTGTATATATATATATATATATATATATAATAATTATAATAATATATATTTAATTCACATTTAATAAATGCACAGGATTGTTTGAATCCGCATTTGAATATGAATGAAGTTATGGATTTCTGAATTGCTATTGGCAAATATATTAACTTTTTTTGTAAATGCAGTTAGCTTATGCATTTGTGAATCATATTTTGTATATAAATGAACTTTGAGACCATTTTTGCTCCATACAATTACAATTAATAATTAAAATATTTTATCTAAAGACCCTTTAGCTGTGAGGACAATATGAAGCAGCATTTGTAATGCTGTTAACTAACTTCTGTAATGTGACATTTCCCCAATAAAATGGGAAGAAAGGACGTGACTTTTTGTTGTTGTTCTTGTTGTTGTTGGTTAATAGTATTTTTCTTCATCCAAGTGGATTTGATGATGAAAGTTGTTACTTTATGACGTGCAGTTAGCATTTGAACAGCATGCATTTTAAATTTATTAGATTTAAATGCATACATGAGATGGTTGTCTTTCACAGCCGTAGTTTCTCAGGCTGGATGTATTTGCATGCGTTGAGTGTAAGCGGATGTCGATCCGCAGGTCTGGTGTCACAGAGCTGGCCATCTTGATCCACTTTCAGTAAAGCTCAGGGCAATTAAACCCTTCTGTAGACGAGAGCGAGGACATTCAGTCTGTGCTGCGCCGTCGGATGAAAAGAAAAGAGGTGGTGAATTGGCCGGTGCGATGTCCAGCGAGCGGGAGAAGAGCAGAGCGGGCTCCCATTAACCAGAGATGCAAATCTAATTTGTCCAGCTCTGGGAAGCGTAATGTGATTGCTGGGAGAGGATCGGATGAGTCCGGATGTCTTGCTTCATATATGGACTGAGGAAACTGAATGCATTATGCAGGGTGAGAAAATCTAATTGTTATATATAATCATGTGTTCATTGAGTTTTCAAGAAATGCATCATGTCTGGAGGGACAGAAGCGTTCATCTTTTCCCTTCAGTTCTTCAGTGCTACATGAACAACATGCCAGTTATTTTATCATAAGATACTGTGGTAGTTTTATTAATGTTTTGAATCAGTTTTTTTAAACAGTTTATTTTCCATTTTCATGTTAAGTTTAACGTTTTAGTAATTTTGTAGTTTTTTGTCAATGTCTATATAGTTTTTATTTTTATATTTTCCATTTTTTATTTTAATTTTAAAGTTTTTTCATTTTTAGTATTTTTGAAAAATAAATGTCTAGATATTTTCATTTTCATTTTAACGTATTTGTTGTTTCTTTTGTCCTTTTTTTAAGTACATTTCTATATAGTTTTTATTATTTGTTTATGTCAGTTTTAGTTGTTTTTCTACATGAAGTTAAACTAATTTTGTCTCGGCAACTAGCTGAAATAAAAAGTTTTTTTATTTCAGTTAACATTTATTTTATTTCAAGTAATGAAAATGTTTTTATGGTTTTAATTTAAAATTAGTAAAACTTATTCAATATAGTTTCTCATTTAAAAACATCTTGAAGAAAATCTGACCATCTGTACGAAGCGTCACATGATCAAAAATCACAGACCAGAATCTGAAATATAAATTTTTTTTTGGTCATATTTTCATTTACTGTATGAATATTTTATTTTATATTTTGCATTTAAATTTTTTTTTTTCATTTTTATTTTTTTCATATATATGCTTGTGTAGTTTTAATTTGAGTTATTTTAGTACATTAAAGGGGTCATAACACACAGTTTCACCCAATCTCATGTTAATCGTGTGTACCTATAAAGTAGTATTGCATCCTTCATATCTCCTAAGAGTCTTTAGTTTTATCATATTTATAAAAGAAAGATACAGCAGCCGAGCTCCTGGAGGCGTGTCGTGGGCGGAGCTAAAGAGTGACGAGCACTTGAGCGCCGATTGCCAACAAAACACAGACATTTGATGCAGTTTGACTTACCGTCTGCAGTTCTGAATCATGACCGGGATCTTTAATAGCTGGGACCGCTCCATCTTTCAGTATCAAACGATGTGCAAGTCCAGCGTCGAACTGGGCCTTGTTTATAAAATGTTCGTCAACAAACACACTTGTGAAACTCCATTGCTACCCCGGAAAAACTGTGTACATAACGCTGGGTTCTTTAGGAAGCTGAACAAGGTTATCTTTCCCTCACAAACAAAAACACACTTCTTTGGAAACATCCTTCTCGAGCGAGTCCCATGCAGCGCTGCCGAATGAAGCGCATTGATGGGCTGCTCTTGCTCTCGCTCTGGTTGATGTGTGCGCGGGCGCGTTCTTCCGGGAGAAATGCCCATATAAGGAGGTCCACCCTTCATGACGTCATGAAAGGCCATGCTCGAAAAAAACTTTCTGAAACTTGTACGAAACCGAAAGGAGTTTACTTTGCACAGAAATACTCCATTCTACATCCAAATCATTTTATGAAACTTTGGCCATGTTTAGCATGAGAATCCAACTCTTTAACAGTGTACATAACTCGACATACATGAAATAGCATTAGACCCCCCCTTTAAGTTAAACGAAATGAAAATTAGTTAAAAATAAAAAAAGAAAAATTTAACAGTGTACATAACTCGACATACATGAAATAGCATTAGACCCCCCTCTTTAAGTTAAACGAAATGAAAATGAGTTATAATGAGAATAATTTTTGATTTTATATATGAAGCGTTTATTTGCAAAAACCGATGACTCCGTTTTTTTTTTGTTTTTTTTTTAAATCATGTTTTTTATTATATCATCATGTTTTTATTGTGTTTTATTGTGTTAGTTAGCTGTATTTTTTAGTTATTTTTTAATCCTAATCAAAATAACCCAACTGCAGTTTGATTGAGATTAATTGAAATGCACAATGAAAAAGCATGATTTTTGAAAATTGTTTAAAACGGAGTTATCTGTTTTTGCAAAAAATGACAGTGAATTTAACGGTAAAAGACTGTAAAAATACTACAGTAAAAATCTGTTAACAAATTAACTGTTCATATTTTTTAAATAAATATTTATAAAAAGATTTAAAATACTATTTATAGTATTCAAATTTTGTGAAAAACAAATGTGTAAATATTAAAATATTTTATTTTTAAAATTGAAAAACATTTTAAAAAATCATGTTCTCATGTTTAGGTTTAATGTTTTACTTGATTTTTTTTTTTCACAGTGTGATTGATTAATTTTATTGAATCCAATTAGGGTCAATTTGATCCGGAACAGAACCATCATACCCAGAATAATATATATACAGTACAATGCAAGGCTAAAAAGTTTTTTGTTTGGTCTCAGACTTTTTGTCCCGACTGCATGTACCGGTTCATTTAGTGCAGAAGAGCGTGATGTTTTCTTCAGGTGAAGTCCTCTCAGATGGACTCGACGAGCGCTCGCGGCGCTGAATAAACCAGATCTGTGTCCAGAGACGGGGACCTATTGATCTTGATATCGATCCATTTACAGCAGAGGCCTCGCTCCATCAGGTCTGTGTACACACCCTTCCCTCTGAGATCCAGAGCAATTGATCAGCTCCACGCTCGCATCAAAGCTAATGAAGACAGCGGGAAAATCATTATGCCTTCATATTCGCTTCATTATTTAGACTGGAGGGGTTTTGCATGTTTGCTTTGGGTTTAGGCTTGCTTTTCTATGACCTAACCACGCTCATTGCACTTTAAAAAGGGGTTGTTTCGTGGAAAACGTGATTTTACTGCCTCTGTCAAAAAAGTCATATAAACATACTGTAGCTTTAAGAACTCAGAACGTCTCCAGTCCATATATGGAAATGAAA